TTATTTGAGGTGAGAAAATATTGCCATAATATGTCCCAGTGGTCTCAGGTCAGGACCCCAAAAAGTACCCTATACGGTGCAGAATGGCAAGATAAGTGGAGGAATGCCTAAGGGTAGTATTTTGTATAAATTTTATATTAATTTCCTCCCTATTTTAATGCCATAATGATGAAGGAATATGGAGGAGACAAGTGTATTGTTAGATGGGAAAAGAAGGTATTATGTGATGGCTGGATAATTTTCTAGTAACTTTCGTAGTATTTGACTAATTAAGAAAAATTAGTCAAATTTAATTATTTCATGTGCTCCAAGGCCTCAGAAAAATTGGGAAAAATATGGATAAAATACTTTGAGAGTTTTAGAACATTGTAGAGGCAATTTTATTCCCAAATTACACCCAGATTAGCTTTAAAAATATTTAAAGCTTATTTAAGCTAATTAGGGCTTTTATCTGGGAAATTCAAAAAGAAATATCTAGAGAGGAGTTAAATTCCAAAAAATTCATGAAATTTCCTTGAATTAAAGAGAGATATTAAAACTAATAGAGGAATTTTCTAAGTCCTGGAACTCTAGAAAGCATTTATGAAAAGAAAAGTAATACTTTTAGCCACTATTTTTGACTAAGGATTTCTATTCTTTTGAAAACCATTATAAGGGGTGATGACTCAAAAGTATAAGGTGGTGACTCAAAAGTAAATAGTAAAAGTGGAGGATAAGTGGTCAAAAATATCAAGGACAATTATGGTGCTGCCAGTACAAAAGTTATTTAAGCTGGTAGAAAGTTATAGCATATATTGTGAAAAATCTTCTTCCTTCTTGACTAAGCTATTCTTGGTGCCACTTGGAAGATAAAAAAAGCAAAGAGAAGTTTCTAGATGTGCATGATGTAAGCCCTTAGGAATTATGATCTCATATATAACAATTATCAACCAATCACATAATTTTGGCAATTTGAAAAAGGTTAAGGGCAAAATTGTCCAAAGACCTTTATAAAATCTCATCTTCCTCTCCCACCTCCCTCACATTTTGGTTCTCATAGGGGAAACTCTTGAGAATTGAGAACTTGAAGCTTAAAGAGGAGAACAAGGCAAGAAATCAACCAACCAAACTTAGATCCAAGGTTAGTAATTAATCCTAGTTGGTTTGATGCTTAGAAATCTTGAGTTTTATGGTTGAACATCCATGATTTTCCCTTCCCCTCTTGCTAGCCAAAATTATATAGGATTGGTGGAGGATGTTTTTGATGATGGGAATTAGTTTAAGAGGTTGTTTATGACTTGAATCAAGTGGTATTATGTGATTATGGTTGATATTGTTGTTGTTGGAAATTTGGGTGAAAAAGAGGAACTGTTTTGGCCTAAGTGGTTCAAGAGGAAGGAAGGTGAATTTTCTAATTTTGAGCTCATATTTAGATTCTACATAAAAAATTATGTAGGATTAGTCTAAGAGAATAAGTTATAAATTGATGGAAACAAAACTCAAAAATTAAAGAGAAAGAGATTAAGGGTTTTACTCAAATTAAACATTGAGTTTTGTTATGATATGGAATATAATGGTTATGCCCCTTGTTGGATAGGCTTTGACATTTGTGGAGGAAGGAGCCAAGAACAAGAAGAGAGTTAAGGCTTACTCTACTTGAGGTAGCAAGATTTAATTAACTTTGTGGTTAATGTTGCATTGTTGTTACACTTATGTTATTGCCTTTGGATGGTTGAGCTATATGAAAGTTTACGTATGACTTGTGGTTGCTCCTTGCAATGTTATGCCTTGGCTATTGCATGTTAGAGTTTTATAAGGTATGAGTTAGTATTAGTTCCCTAATAGTGGCTTTTAGTAAAGTTGTGTGATAATGATGCTTGTTAATGCTTAGTTGATTTTATCTTGCTATTGGGATTTCTATGAAATCTCATTCCTTCCAAATTTACCATGATTCAAGTAGGGGCAGAGGCACTTCAAAGAGGGAAGAGGATAATGGAAGAATAGCTTCATAGTTTTACATTCCATGGCATGAACTTGATATATGTATGTAATGATGCTGGAAATTGTTGCCTATGGAGTTGTAAACTTTGATAAACATTTTGAAGTAGTTTCTGTATGAATTTAGCCATGAGATTTTGTATGCTTAAAATAAACATCTTGACCTTTAATTCCACAGATAATTTACTAGAATTGGAGATGTGTGAAAATTATGGTGATTTTTCAAAGCTAGTGCTTTAAATCTAGAAAACAGTTTTAACTATATGAACAATGTAAATTCTGTACAGTTTTGGCACTATTTCGCAGTGAGTTAGCCACTGAAAGTATTTTTCTCATGTAGATCTCTTTGAAAGCTTTCAGTAGGACTTGGAATTGGCTCATTTTGATTTTTTAGAATTACTTATGAATTTCTAAAGTTGGCCGAAAGATCTAGATTTACCAAACGAACAGTACCTGAGAAAGCAAAAATTTTGGATTTGTTTTCTTGCACTGTAAGCCATCCAACGTGGTTCCAATTGACAAAAAATGAACTCGAATATAGCTCTGCATAATTGCACTATATTGATTGCTGTATGGCACCAAATGTTATTGTTTGTTGTTATGGTTTGGGAATTAGATAGTGTCTGTTTGATGATGGAGTATTGTGTGACTGGATTTATATTTGGCTATTTGGTTGATGCACTATAAGAAAAGTGTAGAAATTGAAAATGATGGATTGCCCGAATAGGGTCCCATGAGGATTGAAAGGTTAAGGTGACTACTTCAGGGGAGTAAACACAGAAAAGAAGTAAGGAATAATAGAGGATTTGAGAAACTTCCACCTAGAAAAATAATGATTGAATTGAAAGTCTTGAATAGGATATAAGTAAAGTCAAAAGATTTTCCTGAAAAAGAGATGGCATTAGTAGAGTGAAACAGGTAAGAGGAATAGTAGCCTATGCTTTGATATGCTAACGGAGTAATGAGTCCTCGATAGAGTAAAACAATAGGAAACGAGATTATTTTGAGCTTTGAAAGCATAGTTAGAAATTTATTTGAGGCATCAATAGTACCAAGTTATTGGCTATTTACTCCAACATAAAGGTGAAACCCTTATGATTACTAATAAAGCCCAGTTTTTATATATTTTATCCCACATTAATTCAGAATTTAAATGATAATTTTGAGCTTAAATGAACTTTTTATGCATTATTGGATTAATTGGTTGATTTTTGGATTTTGTATAAAAATTGAGATTTAGGATTAAAATAGAGATATTTTGTGATTTCCTATTTTGACTTGGAATTAATTTTTCCTATTTCTTTGAAAACAAGTCTCATATTTTTAGAAAGATCATTTTTAGAAAGTTTTGCACTTTCTTGCCTAATTCTTGTGCAGATTGAATATTTAATTTTTGATTATATTTGGATATAATCTACATTAATGGATGCACTCAAATTCTTGTAGGTCAAGAAAGGGGCACATAGGAAATCCAATGGTGCAAGATTGTTTCTTGGAATCTAAGCACAATCCAATGGCTAATATCAAGTGGGTCAATTAATTACTAATGGGCTTGAGCTTTGGATCTAGAAAAATTTCCTTTTCCCTCATTAAGCTATTTCTCGTATTTGGAGAGCAAGGATTCACGTGGGAGAGCATATTTTTCGATCCTTCTCCATTCGGCCAGGCGGACGATTCAACGTGAATTCTGACATGCCATATACCATACATTACATTCATTCCATAGTCACCAAAAGAGGGGGGGCATCACGTTCTGTGACTCACCCAACTTTCATCATCATCATTCACATCTCTTCCTTGATCCAATTTCCATCTCCACATCATCATCAACTTTCATCAATTTATGGCCGTAGCATCAAACAATTTTGGAGGAGAAGGCAATTTGATGGAGGCTTAAGCTTGTTAGGGAGGCAACTTGGGAGGAACATGGAAAAGACTAGAGCCTTGGGCTAGCACTTGAAGACCACAAGGGAGTGATGTTCCATTTATCTTTTTAATTCAAGGACTTGAGATTATTTAGTTTTAAATAATTTTAAGTTGTATTTTTGTTGAGACAATTTAGTTCTAGATTGTCATCTTTATGCTTGGATTGGATTGATATTTGGATTTTATTTGTGTTGAGACACTTGTTGGAATTTATGTTTAGAACCTTTGCATTGTTAATTGAATTTATAATTGAGTTTTCATTATGAGTTTAATTATCAATGTGGTTTGAATTGTAAAATTTGGGTTCTTTTGCCTCTTAATTGTTTGATTAAGTTGGTTAATTGTCTAATTGTTTAATTGGATAATTTCAAACATAATTTCCAAAATTAATTGAGTTATTTTTCATTGGTTTTAATAAGCTTAATTAACCAGCCTTATACTGTTATGAGTTCTCTAATAGTTTAAGGGTTTTTGAAATTAAGGGTTCCCTTTGTTTCAAGTAGGTAATTAAGTTTATTAATTCCACTCTCTTATCACTTCCCTTTGGTCTAATTAACTGATTAAGGTTATGAAGGTTAAATCCATGCAAATCCTAAGTTGTCCCCTCTACTATACCTGAAGAGAAATTTCTGAATTTTTACTTGCTAATTCTCTCTGCTTCCTGATTAATTTTCTTTATTCATTATTTTTATTTTCCTTCAAAAAAACCCCCCAAAAATTGCATTGCATTTATTTAGTTTAATTTAATTTTCATATAGATTTTAGGACATTTGCATTTTCCATTTAGAATTAGAATTTTGCAATTTAGTTTAGGTCCAATTTATTGCATTTTTTTTATCATCTGAATTTTTACCTAAAGAAACCCATAAATTGCTCCTCGGAAGTAATGACCTAGGTCGATCTTGAACTACAAATTAATTGGGACCTAATTTAATTGAGTGCTTTAACAACAAAAGCTTCATCAATTTTGGCGCCGTTGCCGAGGAGCAATGGTTAGACTTTAGGTTTGAGTTCTAGGTGATTCTGCATATTTCCTCTGCATTTTTTGTGCAAATTTTTTTTTCATTTTACTTTGATTTGTGATAACTGCTTAGTACATGACTAGATCCTCCAGCAAGGAATTGTTTGAATTTGATCCTGAGATTGATAGGACTTTTCATCAAAGAAGGAGGGCTCAAGCTAGCAATCTTATAGAAAGTGATTCTTCTGTTAAGTTAACTGCTGATTCCTCTAATTCTCCTGACTCTTCTCATTCTGACAGTAGCATAGCTAATCCTGCTAGGACTATCAAGGAATTGGTTTCACCTGATCTGCATTTTCAAAATTGGTGCATTAATTATCCTGATATTGACACTGATTTTGAGTTAAAGTCTAGATTGATTCACTTTCTTCCAAAATTTAATGGTCTTGCAGGCGAGGATCTATACAATCACTTGAAGACTTTTCATATGATCTGTACTGCTATGAAGCCTTCTGGTGTGTCTGAGGATCAGATTAAGATGCGTGCCTTCCCATTTTCTTTGGAAAGTTCTGCAAAGAATTGGCTTCTTCGCTTACCTCCTGGATTCATTACTTCATGGGACCAGCTGAAAAGGTTGTTTTTGGAAAAGTATTTCCCAGCATCTCGTACTTCCTCCATCAGGAAGGATATTTGTGGTTGTCGACAAATGTATGGGGAATCCTTATATATTATGAGCACTTTAAAGCATTGTTATCCAGTTGTCCTCACCACCAAATTTCAGATACATTGTTGATTCAATATTTTCATGAAGGGCTCTTGCCTCTTGAGAGAGATTTACTAGATTCTGATGCTGGAGGTGCTCTTCTTGACTTGACTGTTGAAGCTGCTTGGAGATTGATTGAAAAGAAAGCTGAAAATACCCAACAGTTTGGTACTAGGCAGCAAGCTAGAGTAAATGAAGTTGGATTGCATTCATCTTATTCTGAGTCTCGCCTTGAGAGCAAAATTGATAAGTTAACATCTGCTATGGAGAAAATGGTTGTATTTCAGATGAAAAACTCCCAAAATATGGCTCCTTCTGTGGGATCTTCCTCTGCTTTCATCCCATAAGCTGACTCTACAGCTCTAATTGGGCCACTTTGCTCTATTTGCTCTCTAGCTACTCACACTACTGACTCTTGCCCTTACCTAAATGATGGAGTTGACTCGTGTAATGCAATATACCACACTAAGCCTGTGACTCAAGGTGGCCAGAAATATGATCCTTACTTAAATACATACAACCTTGGATGGCGTGACCATCCAAATCTCAGATATGGGAGTGGCCAGCCTCAACAATCACAGTTCAATCAAGTCATAAACTCTTCTGGTGGTAAAATGTTCCAACAAGTTAGGCAAACTATGCCCAATCAAGATGAGAGTTTAAAGTTAGAAGGCATGATGAAACTCCTGATGGATAAGTTTGAACAAAAGGATTTGCAACATAGCCAAGAAATTCAGAATCTTCAAACTCAGATCGGGCAGTTATCTAATGCACTTAGTAACATGCAAAGTCAAGGCTCAGGGAAGTTGCCATCTCAAGTAGTAGTTAACCCTAATGTTGGCACCCAGCAGAATCCTAACGTTGGTGGAGTTAATGCTATATCTCTTAGAAGCGGAAATTCAATCACCTCTTCAGATCCTGTCACTACCCATACCTCAACAGACAAGGAAGCTATCATTAAAGATTCTCCCCCTGCTTCCACATCGCATAATAAGTCCACTTTATCAAAACCACATGTGGCATTGCAAGAAGAGCAAGAAAAAGATGGGGAAGGGAAGAAAGTGAGTGAGCAAATCTTACCTTTTCCTACAGGGGTGATTAGGGCTGAAAGGAGAAAGAAAGAAGCTGAGATGTTCAAAGAAGTTTATGATATCTTCAAAAAGGTGGTGATCAATGTTCCATTAGTTGATCTAGTTGCACAAGTGCCCAAGTATGCGAAGTTTTTAAAGGAGTTGTGTACCACCAAGAAAAGGCTTAAGCATGATGGCAAAGTTGACTTAGGGGCGGTTGTCTCCTCTCTTTATCAAATGCCAATGCCAGTGAAGTGAAAGGATCCTGGTAGCTCTCTCATACCGTGCACCATTTGTAACATTGAGTTTTCAGATGCTCTAGCATATCTAGGAGCGGCTATCAATGTCATGCCAAAATCAGTTTTTGCTCAACTTCAAGGTGTGGATCTTAAGCCTACAAATCTAATTGCTTCTCTTGCTGACAGACGCTGTGTAGTTCCAGAAGGAGTCTTGGAGGATGTCTTGGTGAAGGTAAAAGATCTCATATTTCCTGCAGACTTCTATGTTCTTGATATGGATGATGCTAGATTTAGGCAAAAGGGACATTCATCTTTGATTTTGGGTAGGCCATTTCTTAAGACTGCTAGGGCTATGATAGATGTGCATGCTGGTACTCTCACTATGGAATTTGCTGGTAAAATCATTAGATTTAATGTGCTTGACTCTATGAGACATCCACCTGATAGTTGTGCTAAGATTGATGTTAGTTTTGTTGACATTATTACTGATGATGCAGTCATGGATTTTAGAGATAGTATGATAAGTAGATCATGTGATATTGTTGGCTTAGATGACTCTATCTCCTGTTCATGTTCTGAAATTGGTAGTTGTGATACTTGTACTGGTGTAGATGCTGCTGATATTGATGTTTTCACTGATTTCATTGAGATTGTTAGACATTCTAGTTTTGATTCTTCTGCACCTGTCCATAGACTTGGCACTTTCAGTGATTCCTCATCTAGTACTTCTGTTGATTCACATGGACTCTCTTGGTTACTTAGAGTGATTGATGCTATAGATGCAACTGATTCATCTACATTACCTGACTCTGAGCTGTTAGTTAACATTGATCATGTCCCTGATATAGAGGTCTCTAATTCTGATCCTGATGTTGCTTCTGACATGGAGTGCTACTGATGGCACTTCTTTCATGAATTGTGGCGTATTATCTTATTCTTCTGTTGTTACTGTTCCTGCTAATGATTCCCAAGTTGGGAAAGTCTACTCTTTTGCTTGTGAGTCTTTAATGCAGGTTTCTAGTTTGACTAACATTGATTTGAAGCCCCTCGTGCCCTCAATTGAGCAAGCTCCTTCTTTAGAGCTAAAGCCACTTCCTGATTTGCTGAAATATGCCTATTTGGGGGAAGATGAGACATTGCCAGTGATTCTAGCTAGCGACATAGCTGTTGATGAAGAAATTCGCCTCCTGGAGGTACTGAAAAGAAGGATGAAAGCTATTGGATGGACTCTTGCTGATATTCCTGGAATTAGCCCTAATGTGTGCATGCACCGGATTTTGTTAGAGGATAGTGCCAAAGCTGTGCATCAGCCACAAAGGCGACTCAACCCATTGATTCTTGATGTGGTAAAGAAAGAGGTTTCTAAACTTCTTTCTGCAGGTATAATATATCTCATTTCTGATAGCCAGTAGGTTAGTCCGGTTCAGGTAGTTCCGAAAAAGACTGGTATTACTGTTATTTGTAATGATGGAGGTGAGCTTGTTCCAACTAGAGTCCAGAATAGCTGGAGGGTATATATTGATTATAGGAAGTTGAATTCTGTGACCAGAAAAGATCATTACCCCCTTCCCTTTATTGATCAAATGCTTGAAAGACTGGCTGGTAGATCCCATTATTGCTTTTTGGATGGTTTTTCTGGATATTTTCAAATTTCTATTGCACCTGAGGATCAAGATAAGATCACATTCACATGTCCATTTGGAACCTTTGCATACAGACGCATGCTGTTTGGATTATGTAATGCACCTGGCACTTTTCAGCGTTGCATGATCTCCATATTTTCTTATTTTCTTGAGCATTACATGGAAGTATTTATGGATGATTTCACTGTCTATGGTGATTCTTTTGATGCATGCTTAGCTAGTTTAGATAGGCTTTTAGAAAGATGCATTGAATATAATCTTGTGCTGAATTTTGAGAAATGTCATTTTATGGTCAAGAAAGGCATTGTTTTAGGACATGTTGTCTCACATGATGGCATTGAGGTTGATAAAGCCAAAATTGATATTATTTCATCTCTTCCATATCCCTCTTGTGTGAAAGATGTGCGCTCTTTTCTTGGGCATGCTGGATTTTACAGGCAATTCATTCAGGACTTTAGAAAAATTGCATTACCATTGTCTCGTTTACTGTAGAAAGATGTGGGCTTTGTTTTTGATGATGCTTGCAGGTATGCTTGGGATGAGTTGAAAAAGCGACTCACTACACCTCCTATCATTCAGCCACCTAATTGGAGCCTTCCCTTTGAGCTCTTGTGTGATGTTCTGATTATGCATTGGGTGCAGTTCTTACTCAGAGAATAGAAAAGCGGCAACATATCATAGCATATGCATCACGGACACTGGATGCCACCCAGGCTAATTACACAACCACGGAGAAAGAGCTATTTACAATTGTGTTTGGGCTTGAGAAATTTCATTCTTACATCCTCCACACAAAAGTGACTGTCTTTACAGATCATTCGGCTATCAAGTACTTGTTCAAGAAGCCAGACTCCAAACCTCACTTGATTAGATGGGTAATGCTGATACAGGAGTTTGATGTGGAGATTCGTGATAAGAGCGGTGCAGAGAACATGGTAGCTGATCACTTGAGTAGGATTGAGACTCCTGTGGTAACATCTTCTTTACCCTTAGATGATTTTCCTGATAATAGACTTTGTGGAGTTGATATGACTGTTCCTTGGTATGCTGACATTGCTAATTATCTGGCTGCATCTGTTTTACCAACTGATATGAATAATCATCAATTAAACAAGTTTAAGAGTGATGCTAGGTTCTATATATGGGATGATCCCTACTTGTGGCACATTTGCAATGATTAGGTTATTAGGCGATGCATTCCTGATAGTGAATTTGAATCTGTGTTGACATTTTGTCACACTCTTACTTGTGGAGGGCACTTTAGTGCTAAGCGTACTGCTAAGAAGGTTTTAGAAAGTGGGTTATTCTGGCTCACTCTATTCCATGATGCCCACGAGTTTTGTAAGAAGTGTTCCAGGTGCCAATTTGTTGGCAATATTTCTAGGAAGCATGAGATGCCTCAACAGCCGCTGTTGTTCTGTGAAGTTTTGACATTTGGGGTATTGATTTCATGGGACCTTTTCCTACTTCATTTGGTTATGTTTACATTCTGCTTGCTGTGGATTATGTCTCTAAGTGGGTTGAGGCAGTCCCCACTCGTACTATGACTCTTCTGTAGTGGTCTCTTTTATCAGGTCACACATTTTCTGCAGGTTAGGAATCCCAAGAGCTATCATTAGCGATCAAGGTACTCATTTTTGCAACCGAAGTATGCAGAGCTTACTTAGCAAGTATGGTGTGATGCATAAGGTGGCTACTCCATACCACCCTTAGACAAACGGTCAAGCAGAACTCTCAAACAGAGAAACTAAGCTCATTCTTGAAAAGACAGTGCAACCTAACAGAAAGGATTGGAGCAAGAGGCTGGATGATGCACTCTGGGCATATTCTACAGCATATAAAAGCCCAATTGGCATGTCTCCATATCGGATTGTCTTTGGTAAGGCTTGTCATCTGCCAGTAGAGGTAGAGCACAAGGCATATTGGGCCATCAAAAGCTGCAACCTTGATCTTGCTAGTGCTGGTGTTGAAAGAAAGTTACAATTACAAGAACTTTAAGAGCTTAGGAGAGAAGCCTATGAGAATGCTCGGATCTACAAGGAAAGGACCAAGGCTATCCGTGATAAGCTCATCTTAAGAAGGGAGTTTCACGTGGGCCAAAAAGTTCTACTTTATGTCTCTAGACTTAAACTCATGCCTGGTAAGCTCCATTCTAGATGGGAGGGACCTTTTATTGTCACTAATGTTTTTCCCTATGGTGCTGTAAAGATTAAGAGAGAGCCAACTGGAAGATGCTTCACAGTCAATGGTCATCGCTTGAAGCCTTACTACGAGGGGTTCTCTACCCAAGATGCAGAGGTTATCACACTACGAGACGCCACATTGCCTTGGTTGTATTCCTTCCCTTCACTCTTTTTGCTTTGCATTGTCATATTATTGAATTGGGCTGTGCTGGATATTACTTGCTTTGTGACTTGCCTATGTGTTCTGCATTGAGGACAATGCATTGTTTAAGTGTGGGGGAGGGATTTCATTCTTTTAGTTTTTTTTCCTTTTTTGTTGTGTTTTTAATTTTGTTTTAGTTCCTCTTACAAAAAAAAATTGTTTTGTTTCGTTTTGTTTTGAATGTGAAGATCGCAAGTTTGAAGTGATTCAAGTATGATGCATTCTTAATTTGAAAAGTGATTGATCATGTCTTGAGTGGATAAACTAAGTGGCAATGGATTTGATTAGGTGAATTAAGCTAGTAATCATGTACCTAGTGAGGTTTTGGCCTGATGCATTTCTTCTTTTCATGTGTGTATACTCCTATCTCTTTCCTCGATCTAGAACTTAACTGGAATCTTGTTTGAGACCACGTTTGTGCATTTACATTCATAAAGATGATAAAGGCATTCATTTCTATTTTTCTAGCCAGATAAGCCAAAAGCCTACCCTTTTCTGCATTTATCCTTTGTTTAACCCCTTTTGAGCCTTTATCATTTTTTTCTCTTAACCCGTAGCCAAAAAAAAATCTTACCCTTTTTGAATGTCTTAGGAGTTGAAGAGTGTTATATTATATGTGCTTGGGATGGAGGAACACATTTGGAGTTATGGTTTAGGTCAATTTGAAAAAAAGAAAAAAAATATTGTAATAAGATTCCGCTCCTCTAGTTTAAGCTGTGCTTAGTAACCGGGGATCTTCATCACCAATGTTGATCTTCGTGTCAAACGGCCAGTAAGGGCTATGAGCGTGCTAGTAGCATCTTAGTGCCAATGAGTTATCCATGCTTGAGTAATCGGGCCTTTGTATCACCAATATGAAGGTTCGCGTCAAAAGAGCATACACATAACAGCCTAAGAAAGTTTTTAAAAAAAGTGCTTGAAAAAAAAAGAGAAAAAAAAAGAAAAAGAAAAAGAATGACCCAATTCAAGTTCAATTTAGTTTCTTACATTC